TTTTTGCAGCCTATTGCTTTTTCTTGTGACTTTCCTGTTACTATATATGGCAAATTTGTCTCCTATAAAGATAAAAGAATTTGTTTCTTTGGAAGCCAGGAACAAAAACTTGCTCTTGGGTGACAAACACTTTTTTTTTTTTTACCTTGAAGAAACTAATCACAAAGAAATTGGAAATATGAAGTAAATAACCAGATACCACACTGAAAACCCTAAAAAGAAAACTATTCAATTATGAATAATTCCCAATTTATATTAGATATTTTTCCTTCCTCTGCTTTACTGTTAGTCACTGAGTGATACTTATACTTTTTTTTAGGTGTCCCATACATTTCTGGTTGTCTGAAGACATTCCTTTTCCTAAAGCTATTCTTTATGAGCAACTTATAAATCACAGAAAAGCTGGACTGAAAAAATGCTCTAAATTTGTTTTGCTATGTTATTATATCAGGTGGCTTTACATTAATAACTTCTAGGGCTATGCTGTTCACAAGTACACGTTTTTTGTTTTTAAGTAAAACCTTTCATTAGTGAGAGAAACTTAATTCAAAGTTTTAAATTATGTGGAAATTTGAATTTTAAAAGAAAGTAGGTTATAAATGAAGAATGCTACACATTTCCTGCTTTCTCATTTATATATATAACAAATAAATTTATATAATAAACATATTATGTAAATATCAATGTGTTATTTTATTTTAATAGAAAAAGAGTACATGGAACAGTTGGCTGAACTGACAAGGCTGCTGTTTAAACTCTCAGAAGTAAAGAATATTTTCGCAAAAGCTCAAGTTGAATGTTTACCCATCCCGGAAGACCCCAAAAAAGCACTTGTTCGATTCTTGGAGGTATTTTTAAATTATTAATATAGTTGTCCAGATCAGTTACAATCATTTTTCAAAAAAACTTGAAAGTGTTCATAATGTCTTTCTAGAAAAGGAATTTTTTTTAATTGAATCATATTATTGAATGCCTGATATTATAATATTCTGGAAGAATAGAAATGTGAATCTAAGGTATAGTATAGTTCACTCTTGAAGACAGCAGAAAAATTACATTTAATGAAAAATAAGAGTAAAGAATGCTACATGAAAGCCTTATACTAAGGCTGACCTAAATTGTAGGAATACTTGTTGCAGAAATTGCTGGATAACAATATTCTTCAGGTACTTGGGAACTAAATTTCCTTGTATATGATCCATAATACTTCCACCTAATGTTTACCATCCTGTAGCAGTGTAAATTTTACAGTAAAATTTTAGTCTATTCAGCATACGCATCAACTACTTCATGTAATAGTGTGATTGGGGCTTTAAAATTCAATCCATTTGTTTTGTCTCTATAATAAATAGTCCCATTCAACATTTTATCTTCAATTATTAATTTTATAGGAATCTATCTTATGTGATGGTCTTTGCTTTACAGCCTAGTTAAGGTTGTTAATGAGGTTGAATTTGTGTGGTTGTTAATGAGGTTGAATTTGTGTTTTTCTAAGCTATGCACAGTAAAAGTTGGTTTGTTTTCCCATAAAAC